CCCAGTAGTCTACACCCAAGGTCCCAGTAGTCCAGACACAAGGTCCCAGTAGTCTAGACCCAAGGTCCCAGTAGTCTACACCCAAGGTCCCAGTAGTCTAGACACAAAGTTCCAGTAGTCTACACCCAAGGTTCAAGTAGTCTACATCCAAGGTCCCAGTAGTCTAGACCCAAGGTCCCAGTAGTCTAGACCCAAGGTCCCAGTAGTCTACACCCAAGGTCCCAGTAGTCTACACCCAAGGTCCCAGTAGTCTACACCCAAGGTCCCAGTAGTCCAGACACAAGGTCCCAGTAGTCTAGACCCAAGGTCCCAGTAGTCTACACCCAAGGTCCCAGTAGTCTAGACACAAAGTTCCAGTAGTCTACACCCAAGGTCCCAGTAGTCTAGACACAAAGTTCCAGTAGTCTACACCCAAGGTCCCAGTAGTCTAGACACAAACTTCCAGTAGTCTACACCCAAGGTCCCAGTAGTCTAGACACAAGGTCCCAGTAGTCTAGACACAAGGTCCCAGTAGTCTACACCCAAGGTCCCAGTAGTCTAGACACAAAGTCCCAGTAGTCTAGACACAAGGTCCCAGTAGTCTAGACCCAAGGTCCCAGTAGTCTACACCCAAGGTCCCAGTAGTCCAGACACAAGGTCCCAGTAGTCTAGACCCAAGGTCCCAGTAGTCTACACCCAAGGTCCCAGTAGTCTAGACACAAAGTTCCAGTAGTCTACACCCAAGGTCCCAGTAGTCTAGACCCAAGGTCCCAGTAGTCTAGACCCAAGGTCCAAGTAGTCTACACCCAAGGTCCCAGTAGTCTACACCCAAGGTCCCAGTAGTCCAGACACAAGGTCCCAGTAGTCTAGACCCAAGGTCCCTTAACAAGCATGTCATAAAATGGTGACTATTAAGGGTTTGATGAAAACTGATGTGTTGAGCCCAAGAATGACCTGTGTATCCTTAAGAGGACGCTGGAAAACCAACCGGTCATTTACGGCTGTTTTGTGTGTGTGTGGTTTTAGTAAGAAATGTAATAGTTGACAGTTGGACATTGCTCACAAACGACTGCCACTCTCTATACTTTTATCTAAATCAATGCATAAACGACTGTTGCCAAATATGTGACAAGTCAAAAGGCATGCATAGTGTAGCCATAACACAATGTGCCAAATGGCCATAACACAATGTGCCAAATGGCCATAACACAATGTGCCAAATGGCCATAACACAATGTGCCAAATGGCCATAACACAATGTGCCAAATGGCCATAACACAATGTGCCAAATGGCCATAACACAATGTGCCAAATGGCCATAACACAATGTGCCAAATGGCCATAACACAATGTGCCAAATGGCCATAACACAATGTGCCAAATGGCCATAACACAATGTGCCAAATGGCCATAACACAATGTGCCAAATGGCCATAACACAATGTGCCAAATGGCCATAACACAATGTGCCAAATGGCCATAACACAATGTGCCAAATGGCCATAACACAATGTGCAAATGGCCATAACACAATGTGCCAAATGGCCATAACACAATGTGCCAAATGGCCATAACACAATGTGCCAAATGGCCATAACACAATGTGCCAAATGGCCATAACACAATGTGCCAAATGGCCATAACACAATGTGCCAAATGGCCATAACACAATGTGCCAAATGGCCATAAACACAATGTGCCAAATGGCCATAACACAATGTGCCAAATGGCCATAACAAATGTGCCAAATGGCCATAACACAATGTGCCAAATGGCCATAACACAATGTGCCAAATGGCCATAACACAATGTGCCAAATGGCCATAACACAATGTGCCAAATGGCCATAACACAATGTGCCAAATGGCCATAACACAATGTGCCAAATGGCCATAACACAATGTGCCAAATGGCCATAACACAATGTGCCAAATGGCCATAACACAATGTGCCAAATGGCCATAACACAATGTGCCAAATGGCCATAACACAATGTGCCAAATGGCCATAACACAATGTGCCAAAATGGCCATAACACAATGTGCCAAATGGCCATAACACAATGTGCCAAATGGCCATAACACAATGTGCCAAATGGCCATAACACAATGTGCCAAATGGCCATAACACAATGTGCCAAATGGCCATAACACAATGTGCCAAATGGCCATAACACAATGTGCCAAATGGCCTTAGAGGCGAATGCAGCAGAAGAAGACTAAAGATAACTGTTGCTGGTACACATGCATTTGGTAGCCAGCTCCCTGACCCAATTACTTGCAGGACTATTTTGAAAGTCTGGTGACTTCTGGCCAAAATGGCCGATAGCCGGCTGAGGCTTTGAGAATTTGTTTCCAGCTAGGTTTTGCGTTGGCAAATTCCCTATTTATGGAACTGTAGTTCAAAACTTCCATCATCCAGCTACAGGGCTGAGTGCTTGGTGTGACACTCTGAGCTGTGACTTTCATGTGAAATGCCGCTCCCCCCCCCCCTCTCCTCCCCGTTGTGCCCACTGCATACTGTTGATTGTTGTAAATTAATGGGTGGCCGACTGTATTCAGAATGGTGTGTAATTTTGCAGGTGTGCAATGTCTGATTTCACGATCTTAACCGTTTGTGCCATCAGTGAGCTGCAATTCTGGTGTGGAACCATTAGCGTTGGCACATTAGACAGCTGCCTTATGTATTTTTACTCTTTGTGTACAAGTTTCAAGAATATGTTGGGACTGACACATTTTTCACTAGTTCTCTAGGGACTGCAGAGGACATTCTGTGTGATTCCCACTGGCACAGGCAGGGAGCAGTTATCTGGTGACTTGTCCCTTGTGATGTAACCTTCACTACGGTGTAGGCAGGGGGGTCTTTGAGCCCGAGGATTTATGACCGCATGGCTAGTGCTGTTGCCACAACTGTGCAGGTGAAGATTTTATTTTGCTCCCATTGAATAATGATTGAAAATGTTGTTTTCATTCTAGATTGCCCATCCATATAATGAAAACGTGTAAAGTCACTTCTCTGCAAACTTACTTCCAAATCATATCTATAAAACAACTAAAAAGTATCATTAGGAAACTCACAAAACAAATACAAAAGAGGCTATAAATATTGGAGTATCCTTCTTCTTCATCCTTATTTTGTTCCTTCCTGTCTTAGCCCTTAATAGGAAGGCTGGCATATTGTGTTGTGGGTTACAGCTAGACTGTGATATTGGAGCCATCTGGTCCAACACAAATTCTTAATGACTTGACCGTTGTGACATGCTTGTTAAGGATCATAAAATTTATCTTTTTTTTGTGTGTGCAAAAAAAAAAGGTCTTGGAGCCCACACAGGAAATAATGAAGTCAATAATAGTGGTTAAAAAAAGTTACCCAAATCAAATTTTGGCCATACATCCTGTAAGAGTTAATAAATATGTACAAGAGAAGAAAACCCCATCAACAAATCTGATGATCATCCATCAAAACCTTCCCCGAACCCAGATGTTATGTTATCACAATCGACGTCACTGCACATTGGGCATTCCCATGTGTGATATCATCATTACTGTTTGAGACACAGGTGATAAGAGTTAAAAGAGTCATATTCCAGCCTGCAACAATGAATTTAGCTGATAACAAATTACCAGAGCACTTCTCTGGCATTCAAAGGTGTAAAGAAATACAGTAGACAAAATTCCACGCAGCAACACATCTTCAACTCCATGAATTATGAAATCACCTTGTTCTAATGGCAAAATTGTCAGCACCAGCCACATCAATTAGTTTCAAACCACTTCCTTCATAACGAAGGAATTATAATGTGCGATAATTAATGCTGTTATAGAATAAATTCATGCAAAAACAAAACCCCAACACTATTTGCATATAATGATCTATCTTGGCACTGTTTCATCCTTTCTTAGAAAAGCTTGTCAGGTCAAAAACAAAATTTAACAAGCAGCGAAAGCACAGTCCGCCTCAAGAACTAGATTCTTATCACTTTACATTCTTAACTCTGATGTTATCTGAAGTTTACTTTCATCTCAACATCTTAACATAGATGTTCAAGATCTCTAGAGCTTTCTTTCATCTCAACATCTTAACCTTGATGTTTAAGTTCTTCAAAGTTTCCTTTCATCTCCAGATCTTAACCCCAGTTTTTTCTAACGTTTTCTTTCATCTCAAGATCTTAACCCCAGTCCTAAAGTTTCCTTTCATCCTGAGATCATAACCCCAGTTTTATCTAGTTTCCTTTTATCCTAAGATCTTAACCCCGGTGTTATCTGAAGCTTCCTTTTATCTCAAGATCCTAACCCCTGTGTTACCTGAAGTTCCCTTTCATCTCAAGATCTTAACCCTGGTGTTATCTGAAGTTCCCTTTCATCTCAAGATCCTAACCCCTGGTGTTATCTAAAGTTCACTTTCATCTCAAGATCTTAACCCCGGTGTTATCTGAAGTTCCCTTTCATCTCAAGATCTTAACCCCGGTGTTATCTGAAGTTCCCTTTCATCTCAAGATCTTAACCCTGGTGTTATCTAAAGTTCACTTTCATCTCAAGATCTTAACCCCGGTGTTATCTGAAGTTCCCTTTCATCTCAAGATCTTGACCCCAGTGTTATCTGAAGTTCCCTTTCATCTCAAGATCTTGACCCCAGTGTTATCTGAAGTTCCCTTTCATCTCAAGATCCTAACGTCTGTGTTATCCGATGTTCCCTTTCATCTCAAGATCTTAACCCTTATGTTACCAAAAGTTTCGTTTCATCTTAAGATCTTAACCCAAGGCTATTTAAACTTTTTTTTCATCTCAAGATGTTTATGTTCTCTGAAAAATTCTTCACTTCAGAATTATCATCATAAACAAAAGTTATAACTGTTTTCATATAGCAGGTTAGCGAGGAAACAGTCTTTAAGGCTGGTTAGCGAAGAAACAGTCTTTAAGCAGTACAGGAAACAACAGTATATAAACAGCACAGGAATCCACAATTATCGATATTAAGGTCATTCAACGCCGTGAGTATGTTCTTCCTCGACTGAACAAATTTTAAGACCTAGGGGTTCCTCTTCTGTCGGCGATTCTCATCAAATAACTGTGAACATCGCTGGTGTGATCCTTGGCATCTGACTTGTCCATAAGCACCCACGTATCGTCAGATCCCGACACCGACGTACGACATAGAGGGCAATTACTGTGCTCTTCATCTCTGCAACAACAACAAAATGCAAATGAACACTTTCAATAAATCATCATCATCATAATGTAGCAGGTCCTTTGCAGAACGTCATCACTGTCTGCCTGAAAGAAACTCAATCTCTCGCCAGTTCTCCCGCCTCCTGTACTTTCATACTCAAGGAGTCACTTATATCCTGTGCCCATCTTCGTGTTGGTCGGCCCCTGCTCCTCCTTCCTGATACCATGCCTTCTGCTATAATTTTTTCAAATCCCTCGTGGAGCCTGATACGACCAAAATATTTCAGCTTCCAAGTCTTTCCGAAATACCAGCTGTTTATTTTTGTTTTGTGCAGATTTTTTTCTACAGATGGAGTCATGGTGTCACAGTGGTTTTTTTATGTCATGATTTCTGTCAATGTGATCTCTTTTCTTTTCTTAGCATTCCCCTGCTGTAAACTCCGGCAGATAGTTCTGGATGTTTGTCCACTTCTGGCCTGTAGTCTTGTTCCAGGACTTGAGTTTGGTGTGCACATCTATTTTATGGGTCTGACTTATTTGTATGCAGACTGTTGGTTCCTGGCCTCTCAGGTGGATGCAACTTTCAAGCATACACCTCTAATTAACAAACTTTTATGATTTACTTGTTGGGGGAACAGTGAATCTAGTGCTTCTCACGGTGATGATAATAGTGTTACATTGTGTTATAGAGAGATCTGAGGAGAATGACACTGCAAGGAGTTACAACGGGATTTGGCAGACACTCAACTCTCAGGGGAAGGGTGAGACGGATATACAATCAGACAGTTAGTTACTGGTGTCATTTGGATCACAACTCTTTGTTTGCTGCTGAAGATGAGGATGGAGAGCCTATGATGGTGTCCCGAGTGCTGTGATGTTGATTCTCAATTCAACAAAGGAGCAGAAGAAGAAGAAGAAGAAGAAGAAGAATGTCCATAAAGCAATATGCATATTATGAAAAATAAAAGTATAGGCGGTAAATGCATGTGCAAACTTGAGCGCTCACACACACACACCCACATACACATGCTCACCCACTCGCTCACATACATGCACAGATACATAAACACTCAAATATATACATCCATACATACATATACACATGCACACAGAAGAAGAAGAAACAGAAGAAGAGCACTGAAACACAAACAAGTGGATTGAAGTCAAAAAGAAGAAGAAGAAACAGAAGAAGAACACTGAAACACAAACAGGCGGATTAAAGTCAAACACATACCTGGTCCAGTTGTCGATGCAGATCTCACAGAACTCATGGCAGCAAGACAACATGATACAAGCCTGCCTCTCCATGCACACACAGCACTCAGTCTCCTTGTTCTTCACAGGCCTGTGTTTAACAGGAGCACAGTTGTTCATACAAATACTGCAGTATGGGGGGATTCCTTAGGTATATGGTGCCAATAGTGCAGGGCTATTCAACTAGGTGTACTCAGGGGACCAAAATTGTGAAAATGGAGATTGTCACGGGCCAAAGGACTGAGCCCAGACATAGAAAGATCGTTAATACCATACAAACTGGTACTGATCTGTGGGCTACCTGCAAGGCCTCCAGATGCGGCCCCCCCTATGGCCATCAGTTGAACAGCCCTGCTACAATAGGATTTCACACATTCTAAATCATGAGAGATGATTTTATAGCATTGTGAGAAAATTAGAACTTGTGATGACTGGAAAGATTTTTTTGCTGGGGGGGAAGGGGGAGAGAGAAAGAAGGGAGGGGGAGAGAGACAGAGAGAAAGAGAGAGAGAGAGAGAGAGAGAGAGAGAGAGAGAGAGAGAGAGAGAGAGAGAGAGAGAGAGTGAAAGAGGAGGGGAGGGGGGTGGGACAAAGTAAGAGGATTCTTGACATTCTTTTGTCATGGCATGCAGGGGTATCAGCACACAAAACTGATACATAAAGTTGGAGATTGCAGGTTAAGCACACCACCCACTCGCCCCCCCCCCCACCCCCCCCCCCCCCCCCTTTTTTTTTTCCCCTTTTTTCCAATGCCATTTGAGGTACCTAATGAAGATAATGATGTCACTGAGGCAGGTATGGTAGTGTTGAAGCAATCAAACCTGCTACCAAGCCAGAAATCAAAGGTTCAAATCCACTTTTAAAAAACAAAAAAAGGATGCTTTTTGTGGAAGAAGCACATTGGGCACAGTATACTAGACTCATATTGATAGACCACATCAGCATTCTGTACACGATGTGGATCAACATCCCACATGGCCACCTTTGATTCCCAGGACATGACCTCGTACCCTTTAACTCTTTGAGTCCCAAGGAACGCATCATATGTTCATAGGTTCCTACCTAGAAGTCCAATGAAGGCAAGATATATCGGTTTTGCGTCTCTTTTGACTACCCCTTGCATCTCTGATGCTAAACCCCCTGGGACAAAAAGTTAAGGCTGGGTTGACCTGGGAGCCAAGGTCTGTTTCAGGAAAAACAAACTGCTGTAGATTAAAACTCAAGATCTTTGGCTCGGCAAGGATCAAATAAATGCTGATCTGCACTAAGGGCTTACAAACTTTATTTTTATATGGTCTTAAATTGGGCACACAGGCCTGTCAAATATTCACCCTTTCCAACTACTAATCTTTCCTTTCATGGTGACATCATTTTTTGTGTACTAAGCATGTCAAATGTAGCACTAAACATATGACTTTATTTGACTGTAAATGAAATGCAAAAAAAAACAAAGAAATACAATACTGACATACATTGGCAAGGCATAAGCAGCTTATAAAAGCCTGAACAATATATCATTAATAAAGATACAATATTTATTTATATGAACAATATGTGAAACTCTAAACTTTAGAGCTTATAAACCACATTATGTCATTTCAATTCTAATGTTATTTCAGTTTTAACATATGCCAGTGAAAGTTGGAGAGCTATTAAAGACATGGGACCAAAGTTGAATGCATTTGAAAACAAAAGTCTGAGGGAAATGTTGAAAATAAAATGGGAAGAATTCAAAAAGGGTGAAGAAATAAGAAAAAATGTCTCGGCAATGGCCTGATTCATCAATGATAAGACAAAAAAAAAGGAATTGAAATGGACACATTCGAAAATAACAGGATTGAGGAAGCGAGGACATCCAACTGAGATCCTAAAACGAATGTTAATGAGAGGAGCGAACGGTCTGGAAAGGATTCCATGATATGAAGGAATTACACAAGGTAGTACACAATGGAGGAATTCATTGCAAGCACTTGGTGAGATATAATAGCACAACAGACAGGAAAACCATGCCGAAGCCACCCGTCATTACATCAACCAGAACAGAATGTGAGTTATTAGCATAATAACACTTTGAGACATACTCAGGAGGAGATCAGAGCACTTATGGTTATGTCAGATGTGAGATGAAGATGATCTGTAATAAGTGTGAAAAGTCAGCTTCTCAGCAATGAACAGTTATAAAGAAGCCAATGGCGCCTTCTCCATGAATGAATGTTAGCATACAAAGAGTTGGTGTCTATCACAATAAATGACGTCCAAGCCGTATATCACTGTTTTGAAACCTCTAGGTAAACCCGCAGCAAATGTGTTACATACTCTGAGTGATTCAATGAGTGATGATTAGGGTTCAGACAAATCATTTAGGCGAAGACAATGGCTTATAATCACTGTCAAAGTCCACTGTGCGTGGGAGTCACCTTTATGAAGTTTTGTTTTGGACGCAGGCGTCGATTGGAAAAAAAGAGCTGACAGGTTGGCTGGATCCGCTATCACTACCGACGGTCAGCCTATGGATCATGCCTGATATTATTAATGCCCTCAGAGAAATGGGAAGAGAGAAGACTTTGGTGGCAGTGAATCCACATCACTCGCCAGCTTGTTCACTTTTTTATTGGGAATTAAGATCGGCTTCAAGCAATAAACGAGTCACACCAGACACGCCAGAAGACTTGATCAATCAACATAGGTGGTACTATCTAGCCATCTGGCGTGGGGTTCAGATTAATGAGGGGAGGATCTGAAGCACCTGTGTGACATGTGGAGTGCAATAGAGGATAACCCAATAAAATAACTATCTAAAATGTGTAAGTAACTAATAGAGGAAATAACTACAGATAAACTAACATGCATGGGGAGTGAACTAAGTGATGAAAAGACTTTGTTAAAACAGCAATGGGAGTGTCTAGCTGAATAAAGACTATGAAAAACATCATGTCAGATGTAGAATGGGAATGTTAGCTGAAGTAAGCTCATCTATAGAACAACAATTGGAGTGTCTAACTGAAATAAGCCATCTGTATAAAATCTTAAACCTCTAGGGTAACTGCAGATAAAACATACATTAAGCTGAAAACTGCTATCCTGTGACATCGGATTAAACAAATCATTATCTACATTTACGTTTATAAAGCTGTCACATGGGTCATGAAACAAATTTCCCAGTTTCGGTAGGCTCTGGCACAACTGCATGAGGAGAAACATTAAGCTTCAAGCTAGAGAAACACCCATTCAGCCAACAACTTGACTAGCAATAAAGACAGATAAGTATGTCTATAAGGCTGCTTCAAAGCAAACATCAGTTTTCTTACCTTAGAGTTTGGCATGCCGCGAATCCGAGGAGTGAGCAACCCATGGCGATGCTCAATGTGTATTTCCAGAAGTTGATTGTAATAGTCGGGACATAACAATCAAGTCTGGCACCTTAGGGTGTCTAGCTAGAATAAGCCATGAAATAAAACATCATGTGTGGGAGTGAATAGGATGTCTAGCTAAAACAACCTATTTGTTGAAACATCAAGTGTGGGAGTGTCTAGCTGAAATAAACTATATGTTGAAACATCAAGTGTGGGAGTGTCTAGCTTAAATAAACTAAATGTTAAAACATCAAGTGTGAGAGTGTCTAGCTGAAATAAGCCATACAATAAAACATCATGTGTGGGGGGTGTCTAGCTAAAATAAACTATATGTTAAAACATCAAGTGTAGGAGTGTCTAGCTGAAAAAAAAGCATAAACTAAAGCATCATGACATCATATGTGGGAGTGTCTAGCTAAAATAAACTATTTGTTAAAACATCAAGTGTGGGACTGTCTAGCTTAAATAAACTACATGTTAAAACATTAAGTGTGGGAGTGTCTAGCTGAAATAAACTACATGTTGAAACATCAAGTGTGGGAGTGTCTAGCTAAAATAAACTGCATGTTGAAACATCAAGTGTGGGAGTGTCTACCTGAAATAAACTACATGTTGAAACATCAAGTGTGGGAGTGTCTAGCTCAAATAAACTACATGTTAAAACATCAAGTGTGGGAGTGTCTACCTGAAATAAACTACATGTTGAAACATCAAGTGTGGGAGTGTCTAGCTTAAATAAACTACATGTTGAAACATCAAGTGTGGGAGTGTCTAGCTCAAATAAACTATTTGTTAAAACATCAAGTGTGGGACTGTCTAGCTTAAATAAACTACATGTTAAAACATCAAGTGTGGGAGTGTCTAGCTGAAATAAACTACATGTTGAAACATCAAGTGTGGGACTGTCTAGCTTAAATAAACTACATGTTAAAACATCAAGTGTGGGACTGTCTAGCTTAAATAAACTACATGTTAAAACATCAAGTGTGGGACTGTCTAGCTTAAATAAACTACATGTTAAAACATCAAGTGGGGGACTGTATAGCTTAAATAAACTACATGTTAAACATCAAGTGTGGGACTGTCTAGCTCAAATAAACTACATGTTGAAACATCAAGTGTGGGAGTGTCTAGCTCAAATAAGCTATTTGTTAAAACATCAAGTGTGGGACTGTCTAGCTTAAATAAACTACATGTTAAAACATTAAGTGTGGGACTGTCTAGCTTAAATAAACTACATGTTAAAACATCAAGTGTGGGACTGTATAGCTTAAATAAACTACATGTTGAAACATCAAGTGTGGGACTGTCTAGCTTAAATAAACTACATGTTAAAACATTAAGTGTGGGAGTGTCTAGCTTAAATAAACTACATGTTAAAACATCAAGTGTGGGAGTGTCTAGCTAAAATAAACTACATGTTAAAACATCAAGTGGGGGACTGTCTAGCTTAAATAAACTATATGTTGAAACATCATGTGTGGGAGTGTCTAGCTAAAATAAACTATATGTTGAAACATTATTTGTGGTCTATTACTTCACATATTTGACTGAAAGGTTTTCATCTCAGTTTTTACAATTTGTCTTTAAACTAACGCTATCCATAATTAAATTACTTATTTTAACACACAGGGTCTGTTGGACCTAGTGCTGTTCGGACAAACAAATTGTTTGTCGAACTGGCCATAAGCGTGCCAAAGTGGTGGCCTGCTGGCCTTATGGAGCCCTTTGCAAGCACACCTGTGGCCCGCACAAGGGAAATATTCTGCAATAATTGTTATTAAATTATTCCAATTAGTTGTCGCGTGTGGCCCTCATGAGGACAAAATGTGACCCATACGGCCCTCAGTTTGACATGCCCACTCTACTGCTTCCTGTCTGGGAATTGTCTGACCCTACCAAATTTAATTTTTTTTTTTGTTTACTATTTTGTTTTTTTATGGTCATAAATACGGCTTGTCATGAATTGCAGAGGCCTAATTAGGAAAGAAGGCACAGTTTATGAAGCAGAAGTATTAAATTTAAATCCTCTTATTTACTAATACATCTTCTTCAATTCAATTCAATCCAATTCAATTCGTAGAAAACAAAAATGTCAAACTGTCTCAGCGTTTAACCACATGAAGGCCTGTTATATTGCAGAGTTTGTTCTTTGTATGTGCCCTTATATGTCCCCCTGGCCTGTTCTGCTATGGATTAGAACAGTACAAGACTGTACTTTACCTTCTGACACTGTATTCGGATCTTCCTCTTCCATGCGAAGCTGCGCCGATCGGAGCCATTTTTGACCACAAACCTCAGAACCTTGTCATTCCTGCCAGTCAATCCAAGGGTGCTGAAGAAAACATGCACAAAAGATACATCAGTTAGTCTTGAACACATATCTAGTGACAAAAAAAAAATAACTTATTCACAATATTCTTCAACATTAATTAGTCTGTTAATCAAACAAAGCAACAAAAAACAGGGTAGCTATTACTTGACTCAAAAGCTGGTGATACAGAGAAAAAAGTATTGACACAAGAGTCGCTGAAAGGTAATATAGTTAAGGAGACAGTAACAGAGTCACTAAGACAGTAATAGAGTTACCGAGGTAGTAACAGACTTACAGAGATGCTAACAGTCAACGACATGGTAAAAGTTATCGAGACAGTAACAGTCACTGAGACAGTGATAGAGTTACCGAGGTAGTAACATACTGACAGAGATGCTAACAGTCAACGACATGGTAAAAGTTATCGAGACAGTAACAGACACTGAGACAGTGATAGAGTTACCGAGGTAGTAACAGAGTTATTGAGACATAATACAGTTACTGAGAGAGTAAGTCCAATGATTTGTTGCAATTGTAATAAGCTGCTTTTGGTAATCAAATATACTGACATGGCATAACTCTAACATGGCACTATGAATCTAATATGGCACAGTAGGAACCTAACATGTATGATGATCCTAGCAAGACATGACATAAACCTAGCAAGACATGACATGAACCTAGCAAGACATGACATGAACCTAGCAAGACATGACATGAACCTAACAAGACATGACATGAACGTAGCAAGACATGACATGAACCTAGCAAGACATGACATGAACCTAGCAAGATATGACATGAACCTAGCAAGACACGACATGAACCTAGCAAGACACGACATGAACCTAGCAAGACATGACATGAACCTAGCAAGACATGACATGAACCTAGCAAGACATGACATAAACCTAGCAAGACATGACATGAACCTAGCAAGACATGACATAAACCTAGCCAGACATGACATGAACCTAGCAAGACATTTGGATTAGATTTCCGGTCAAAATGGACGCTAGGCACGGCAAATTTTTTTGGCTTCTGCCAGACTGTAGCCATTGCATTTTTGCTCCATTAGTAGACTGAAACAATATAGTTTCGTCACCTAGCTTCTGAGTTGAGTGCATGGCATGGCAATGTGAGCTGCGGATTTAATTTAAAATGTTTTTCGATTGTGACCAACGTGGTGGTGTGAAATGTAGATTTAAAAAATGGTGTGGTGCCTGTTGTTGCAATATTGGTGGTGCCATTATGTGATTAAAAGCGATTGTGTGTGCAACTGTTGATCTGTTGGTGACTTCTGCAATCATCGATGATGAACTGTATTTCTAATGTCTGACTGTTTTTGTGAGCACTTCGGATGGCTACCGTATGCTTTTAATGCGTGTGTATGCTAGAGCATATGCTGAGACAGCAGTCTGTCAATCTTTCCACAAGGGACTGTGATAAACATTTTGTGTATTTTTCAAAGGAGCAACTATGGGGTGACCCGTTTGCTATGAAGCTGAAACTAAGATTACCAGAAAACATTACATGAACCTAGCAAGACATGACATGAACCTAGCAAGACATGACATGAACCCAGCAAGACATGACAAGAACCTCAGTATAGAAAGATTATTATTAAAATAAAGTTGGCAATGGTCCACAGGCAAGTTGCTAGGCCGTATTTGGCCCACGGGTGGCCAGTTGAATAGCCCTGCCATCTGATACGAGACTAATATCATATATATGTGCACTGGACACAAAAAACCCTGCAGCTGTACGTAGAAGAAATTCCAGATTTGGCGTTCAGAACTCTGCCAATGTGAAAAGGCACCACAGAATACTAAAATGGGCTACAGGCAAGCTCTCTACATGCAGTAGAGAGATCCCAGCTTTGGTTGGTTAGCATTCTAATGGAAACCAAGTTGTTGTTGTTGCAGCTTGTGCATGGTCTTCATATTCTTCTGCTCTGTGGCAGTTGGTACCAGGATATTCTCATCAGATGGTCTAATAACCTCATTTCTTGCTCTCAAATGAATTGTGTCTAAGTTTATGTGTATGCATGTGTGCGGGTGTGTGTGCATGTGTGCAGTGTGTGTGCGGTGTGTGTATGTGTGTGGGTGTGTGTGCATGTGTGTGGTGTGTGTGCATGTGTGTGGTGTGTGTGCATGTGTGCGGTGTGTGTGCATATGTGTGTGCATGTGTGCGGTGTGTGTGCGGTGTGTGTATGTGTGCGGGTGTGTGCAGTGTGTGCGCGTGTGTGTGTAAACCTAAATGAACAATAAATTACAACATCATCAACACACACACATTGTGTTCAGCTCCTGGATGCGATCGAGGAGATCCCTATAGCTAATGTTTGAAAGACTTCTGCCGCTGCCCAGCTGAGTGTTCTGTTCTCGACTCTTTGATCCACTGACAGAGCTGGACACCTGACCCATCACTTCACCCTCATTTACTCCATTGTTTAATGTATACAGTTACAGCAGCTTCAATTCACTGAGGAGACAGAAAACAACATAATATAATAAGAACATGTAAGGTTAGTCTCCCAGGCCCCGCCTATATACACACTAGCTCACTTCTGATTCGCAGAAGGTCAGAGGGGTGTTGCGCAATGCTGTTGATATTGCATTTTGTATATTTCAGCACACCACTACTTTTTACACTAAAAAAAAACAGAGAAACTGACGCTAATACAACCCCCCCCTCCCCCCACCCCCCCCCCCCCCCCCCCCCCCCCCCCCTAGAGAGTACTGCAACCTATGTCACAGGCATTCCTTTTCTCGGAATGAAAATGTAAATGCAAGACAACGCTGAGACCAAACAACAGAGTGGAACACACCCATAACCTTCAGGAAAGTCGACCAGCCCAACGAACTTGTAAATGAAAAGTGACCTACTCTATTTGGGGAGATTAAGTTGAACCTAACCATCTAATCAATTATCTACACCTCTCCACGGTTGCAGACAATGGTGTTATATTGTGAAAAGAGAAGCTGGGAAATCACATCCTATGGATACAGATGAAGCTTCTGCTCTCTGAAGCACAAAGCCTGGGCAGTACTGTTGAGACCATGTGTTGTCATGCAGCATGATCCCACTCTTGGTGTGGCTTGTTTGATCCAAAGAAAAAAAAGGTAATACCAATATGCTTGGAAGAAATCATGCTGCAGAAGCTATTGGATCAGAAGACTGTCCATCTGTAAAAGCTTCCATTCTATACCACCTGCCAACCAAGGCTAGTCTTGCCACAACATTACCTCTTTGAGTCCCAAGAAACGCATCATACGTTCATAGGTTCCTACCAAGAAGCCCAATGAACGCATGATGCGTCGATTTATTACTTTCTTTACTATCCCCTGGGCCTGTGATGGTAAACCCCCTGGGACTCAAAGAGTTAAGTTTCTAGGATGTTTCTTCTTCTTCTTCTTCACGTTCCCTGGCTGCAAACTCTGGTGGAAGGTTCTGGTTGTCCGTTCACCTCTGGACATTAGTCTTGTTCCAGAACCCGAGTGTTGCGTGCACATCTGTTTTACAGATCTGATATACTTGTATGCACAATGCTGGTTCCTTGCCTCTCAGACAGACTCACCCCAACTTCGAGGGAAGCACCCAATCACCACTCTTACGACAGGTTTGTTGGGGAGGCAGTGGGTCTATTCTTGCTTCCCGCACTGGGATTTCTAGGATTAGGTTGGTAGTCTACCCAATGTGCACCTCTGTCAGAAGCTACTGGCCAAATGTAGAATATCAAGTTTGACTTTTGCCATTGAAAAGTCCTGGATTTAGGTCTCAGCTTAATACGCTTCACCTTATTGTCTCACACTCTGCAGGGATTTAACCAGAAAAATGCCTGTTTTCAATGATTTGTTCCATTTCCAGGTGTGCTAGGTAACAAACAGGCTGAAAGATTAGCTGCTGCCACTCCTCTGGGTGATGACCTACTTTATGATAAAGTGGATGTGGTGAAAGCCTTCTGGGATCAAAAGAACAATGCAGTGGAACAGATCAGACAATCCATACACTGAAAGACTAATTCAATGGGGGGGGAGGGGGGACGGGGTGAGTAGAGATTCTGGAAGATATTTATCACAGAGAGGGACACACCAGCAGACTTTCAATCATGCCACAACTGGCACCGTTAGCATGTCGACTCTTTGTTGGCTACCGAAGAAGTCAGAGAATGTGTGCTAATGTCCCAAATGCAATGATGATTCATGTGAAGTGGTCAAATATGTCATGCAATAAATTGTGCCTGCTTTTATCTGCACCTTCTTTATGCAAATCTACAATGAGAACAGGTCGATTTTAAATCAACTGTGTTTCAGAGTCGCCTGATATCCTCTTTGTAATATCTTTTAAAATTAATGTAAAGACTACAAAAGCTTACCATGTTTAATGTATTATGTTTACACTTGTATTTTTGTACATTTTACAAACTTCACTTTTAATCAAACTAACCATACTCAACTTCTGCTCCTTCTCTGCCTTTCATACCCAAACAGAGCATGGTCTCTTAACCAACTCCCATTAAGCTCTTTGTTTATTTTTTTATGGCTGCTTGGAGACAGACGTTTTTGTGTTCACTGGCTGTAAACTCTGGCAGAAAGTTCTGACTGTTTGTCCATTTCTGTACTTTAGTCTTGTTCCAGAACTTGAGTTTTGCATGCATATCTGTTTTACAGATCTGGCTTATTTATATGCAGACTGTTGATTCCTCACCTCTCAGGCAGATGCACTAGACTTCAAATCAACCTTCATAAATAAGTCCTTTTATGACATGTTTGTTGGGGGAAGGGGTGGAGGGGTGAGTCTATTCTTTTTTCCCCAAAATGGGGCTGTTGAACCCACACTGGGAGGGCAACCTATCATAAGCAGTACATAGGCTGTGGTCAATTATTTATTATTTTGCATGCATATGGAAAGAGAAAAGTGGAACATGTGACAACAGGGAAAATTTACAGAAAAATGAAAAGATCAATGAGAAGGCTCTTGGTACTCTTTTTGTCATGGCATTCAAACTTCTTCTTCTTCTTCACGTTCACTGGCTGTAAACTCCGGCGGAAAGTTCTGGTTGTACGTCTACTTCAGGAATCAGGTTCCAAACTGAGTGTTGCGTGCACATCCGTTTCACAGGTTTGACTCATTTGCATACAGACTGTTGGTCCTTGCCTTTCAGGCAGATGTACTGCAACTTCAAAGGTAGCTCCCAATTAGTTGACTCTTACGACATGCTTTTGGGCAGTTAGTGGGTCTGTTCTTGTTCTCCCCATAATGGGACCCCGGAACCCACACGGGGAAGCAGCATACAACCTGATCCATGTTCAAGAGGCAGAAGCATGATCATGAGTAGGTGTTTTGTTGCTGTTGTTATTTTTTTTTTTTTGTAAAGGAAAAAACTGCCAGTACCCAGCACAGTTTCAATAAAAAGTGCCTGTAGGCACCACAAAGTGTCTACTACAGCAGTTTTTGAAAAAAAAATTATGCATAGAAAAGGTGCCGGTACTAGATACTGTCAGAAAAAAGCCTTGACTGTGTAGCACCTGATGATGGTGTGGTTAGTGTTATTCAATAATTCTCCCCAACTACATCACCACAAAGAAAACACTGCATTAGTCACTGCTAGGAATCACTTTTAGTGTAATGGTTGTCAATAGTTACAAATGTTCCTCCCTAGTGGAAATATTCCCCAGTGCTAGAGTTCCGTCAATAGTCAATACTTACTGAGGTTTTTCTTTGTCTTCCTGAATTACTTACTAAACAAAACCGATCATTTTATTTCTTTAATTTGTGTGACGACCCCAGGCATTCCTCGTCTTTCACAATCCTCATCTTTCACATTCCTCATCTTTTACAATCCTCATCTTTCAAACTAGATTTAAGTAGCAAGCATTAGGCATTACTGGAGAAGAAGAAGGAAAACATTGCTGTGGACATTTTTATAGCAGACACCACAGAAACCGCACACTACAGCTGTGTGAGCCACGCCCTGGCTCAGCTCCCCCCCCCCCCCCCCCCCATCTCTCCGAGACAACTGACTGATTTTTCATTGAATATTCGAATGTTAGCCTTAAACATCGCGCAAATCATATATAGAATATGTTCTCAAGTTAAATATACTGTTCTTCATAAACATATAAGCAGATTCATGTATACATAACATCACAACTATGTAAAATAAAAATATATGTAGAAATAACTAAATAAGTACGGTAAATTGATTTGAACTGCCCTGCAAGATTTTAAAAAATACAGCGAGTAAATCAACAAAATCTGATGTTAGAACTGACCCGTTATGTAAGAAGATAATTATGCTATCTCTAGTTATTGAGTTCTTGTAAAACTAACCACCTATAACTCGGGTACTGTGGACTGACTGGCTGTAGATGGACCAAAATGCGACACAAGTCGATACAGACCCTACCTGCTAATCTTCAGGTGTCAGTCTGATAATTACGGAAGTTTGTGTGGGCAAATACAAAACAGCAACAGTCAGGCACGTAACAATTTTCACGTTGTTTTATTACACAGTCGGCTCTGTAGCTAAGTCAATGCGAACGCCTCGTAATGCCGGGGTGCAGGGTTCGACTATGCGCCTTGCGTTGGTTTCGACGGTGGTCTCAGGGGGCCGATCGTCCAGAAGCACTAGCAAACTTCTAGACGTAAATTAGCCTATAGAAACCACGCAACAGCCAGGGGCTGCTGGGGTTGGTTCTGCAACGTCCTGTAAAGGATACACAACTAACCTTTTATTACACAAGCGTGTGCAAGATAGACATGAATGATACATATATAGAGATAGTGAGGTAGATTTTTGGGATTGAAATGCCAAGGACTGAGTTGCGTAGAGGGGATTAATCAGAACTGGAATACAAAGGAAATGATTGCAGATAGGCTGAGAACGTCTGAAAAGAAGCACACAAAAGACATGTGATGACAACAACGATCTTCAAATGTCATGCTCTAATTTTGGTAGAAATTGTTTTCTACACGGGTGGGTCTTGCTAGCAACATTCATTCATCCTCTTCATGGGCTCTGATTCATAGTGTCGGTCGGCCCCTGCCCCTCCTTCCTGGTACCATGCCTTCTGCTATAATTTTTTCCAATCCGTCGTGGCGCTTGATATGACCAAAATATTTCAGCTTTCGAGAAAGGATGCTGTTTATTAGCCAATCTTCCTTGATGTTCAGATCTTTTAAGATGTCAATATTTCTCATCTTCTTTGTCCAAGATATTCTGAGAATCTTTCTATAGCATTTCAGCTCAAAAGCCCCTATTCTCTTTCTGAAGGACTGAGAGATAGTCTACGACTCACATCCGTATGTAGCCACAGGGAAGATGCATGCTCTCAAAATTCTAATTTTTATCTCCTTGCTGGTGCTTAACCATAGACTTTTAAGGCTGTTCAATATACGGAAAGATGCCAACAACAAATATTACACAATATTGTAGTATGCTGAAATAATGAGCATAGTTGCGTATCCTTTACAGGACGTTGCAGAACTAACAATAACAGCCCCTGGCTGTTAAGTGGTTTCTCTAGGCAAATGTACGTCCAGTAGTTTGCCATTGCCTCTGGACGGTCGGCTTTCTTGATACCACTGTTAAAACCAACGCAAGGCGCGTAACCCGCAGCTGAGATCGAACCTAGCACCCGGCATTACAAAGCGTTCGCATCGACTTAGCCACAGAGCCGACTATGAACATACTACAAAACTATAATATTTGTTGGGTTCGCTCATTGGCGAAGCCGGACTTTTTTTTCCAAAACAACCTTGACTCCCAGGCCGACCCAGCCTTGAACTGGTACCGGGTGCAGTCCCGGGAAGTAAAGGCGGTCTGTGTGATGGTGACCACATCACCTATCATGTACCGATTGGTCTATAAAAATAAAGGTCTAGCCCTATACGCCCAAAGGCGTGGAAATGGGATCTTTAACTTCTTTTTTTTTTTTAATCGTATTCTGACGAGAGATTCCAACGGTACTGGTCTGGATTCCATACAAGATCGAAGGGACTGCTGCAAATGATGAAATGGAGTGGAGAAAGACTGGGAGTCCTATGTGACACATAGATGGCATACCAGGACCATGTTGGTGGGGATGGTGGATATTGCAGACCATCGATTGAATCACTTAAGTAGTTTACTGAAAATGTGTAAGTATACTGGCATGTTTGTGGCACAGTCTAAATGCAACACTTTGCTGAATACACGATGTAATGTCCAATAACTGAAAGTATGGGGAACTTCTGTTAGTTTGAAAGAGGCTGGGGTAAGAGATTTCCCAATGATGACCTAGCAGGAGTGAAGACAAGTTGAGCTGAGTTGAATTAGGAGCAGAATCACCACACTTGGAACATTCTCATATGCGCTCCGTCTCTATCCACAGCAGCTAGTGAAGCGTTCTAATTCTGATTGTATCTGTGGCAGTTTGGTTGCTTTCATCCCGAGTGTTGAGTGTTGACCAGATACTATAGTTATTACACGCTGCGCCATTATTTTCAGATTTTAATAACTTTTTATTTCTTTAAAGTGAAAGTTATTATTGTTTAAAACTAAAGTTACCTATCGAATGTACTCCCATTCTTTGTAACTAATAAGTAATTGTTTTGATGATGTTTATTTTACGCAACCCATAAGACTCAAAAACAAAACTACAGGGCTCAGTAAAGGGAAATAGGAGAAGAGGCAGACCAAGAAAGACCTGGTTACAGAACCTGACTGACTGGACAGGTCTCAGGCATGCAACCATGAAGTCCATCGCAACTGACCGTCAAAGGTGGAGAGTGCTGATCAAACAGTCAACAGAAACGGGTGTCTCAACGACGCGTAGTGTTACGGAAGGATGATGATGATGATAAGATTCATAACACTTTTGGATTTTGTTTATTACTATACTTTTAAACAAGTTAAGTAATGTAAATATAATCATATCGCATTCTAGCGTTTGTAATTAAGACTTAGACGGTGTGAACAATTTTTTTATTATTAACTATGAAATGATGTACGAATGAATAACTGTATACAAGAAGCGGACTGGAAGTGCAGAAGTTCTCCCTGCTCCCAAAGGGTCTTAATAACTCAAAGCTTGTCATGCATCAGTTAACTATCAAGTGGTGCACAACCGCCAGGCCGTCTGTCTGTCTTTTCAATACGTTTCATATTCTTGACGCAGCGGAAAACCGTAGCATGAGAGTCGCACTATGGAAGAGATTAGGGCTTTAGCACGTAAGAGTTCCAAAGAGAAAAATTGATACACGGTTCCACTGTTGCCAAAATCCATTTGTGTAGGTCAAAGGTTGGTTTAAGTTTACTATAATATAAACATGTGTAACTCTGTGTTGCCAGTATAGGTGAGACTTAAGCGTCCTTTGTGGGAAAACTCTTACTGGACTGAAGACCCTTATCCGAAATATCCTTGTCTTTGGCGAATTCCTCTTGTATATATTAATTTTTCATGCTGAAATTTATCGAAAGCCTTCCTATTGACTATCAGAAAGCTTTTGACAAAGTTCGACATGAATAATTAAATCGACACTCACAGACAAGTCGGTATCTATCCCGTAAAACTTCAGCTTTTGATTCTTTCACACTCTGAGCTTTGTCGTGATGTCTCTACAAGTATTTAAAGGCGAGATAAGTTAAGCTTAACTAAGCTAAGAAGCGATGTCATAATACTTGAAACATTCCCATAGGCATCCCGTCCCTATCTTTAGCAGCTAGCGCAGAGTACCCATTCTGATTGTACCACTAAAAGTAAAAGGATAAACTGTTGACTGTTGAATCAAGAATCGGCATTCTAGCACACGGGACACTCCAGTAAGCGCTAAATCGACATTTTTTCCAGTAAGCGAAAAGTTCCAGTTTCAATGGTAACAGGATAGTCTTCATAACCTTAGGGTTTATCCTATGGCTCAGTATATGTATATATATATATATATATATATATATATATATATATATATATATATATATATATATATATATATATATATATATCATTACAGCAAAATCATCTCACACAGCACGAATACCGCAGCTTTAGCATTGACCCTCAGGGATTTCCAAAACGCCTACAAGACGTAGTCAGAAGCCGAACCTACAACCATCAAAGCACAAGGCAAACAGCCTGCCCACTACTGCAACTAAAACGTCATCCATGTGAATGTTTCTAGGGAAAGTCGGAGTTAGTGTCATTTTCAAGTTAATCCTTCAGAATGTCAGTCGGAGAACAAAAGGTGTCTGTGTTGCTGGGTGATACCATTTTGAAAGCAAACTGTTATGTTCTATACAGCCTGGTGTGTTTCAGCTGCATCCTGCTGTACAGCTTAAAGAATGAAGACTTTGAAATAAAGAACTGAAGACTGTGAAGTAAAGAACTTAAGACTGTGAAGTGAAGAACTGAAGACTGTGAAGTGAAGAAATGAAGACTTTGAAGTGAAGACTTGAAGACTTTGAAGTGAAGAATTAAAGACTTTGAAGTGAAGAATTGAAGACAGACTGTGAAGTGAAGAACTGAAGACTGTGAAGTGAAGAACTGAAGACTTTGAAATAAAGAAATGAAGACTTTGAAGAGAAGAACTGAAGACTGTGAAGTGAAGAACTGAAGACTGTAAAGTAAAGAACTGAAGACTGTAAAGTGAAGAACTGAAGACTGTAAAGTGAAGAACTGAAGACTGTAAAGTAAAGAACTGAAGACTGTAAAGTGAAGAACTGAAGACTGTAAAGTGAAGAACTGAAGACTGTAAAGTGAAGAACTGAAGACTGTAAAGTGAAGAACTGAAGACTGTAAAGTGAAGAACTGAAGACTGTAAAGTGAAGAACTGAAGACTGTAAAGTGAAGAACTGAAGAATGTAAAGTAAAGAACTGAAGACTGTAAAGTGAAGAACTGAAGACTGTGAAGTGAAGAACTGAAGACTGTGAAGTCGAAAACTAAAGACTATGAAGTGAAGAACTGAAGACTGTAAAGTGAAGAACTGAAGACTGTAAAGTGAAGAACTGAAGACTGTAAAGTGAAGAACTGAAGACTGTAAAGTAAAGAACTGAAGACTGTAAAGTGAAGAACTAAATACTATGAAGTGAAGAACTGAAGACTCTGAAGTGAAAAACTGAAAGCTGCTGGGGACCTAGCGTTTGAGCAACACAAGGGTTCTGTTATTTCCAAGAGCTTCCCGTCATGCTATAGATCCTTGTCTTGCAATCCCGCAACGTATAAAGTCTACAATGCTCCAATCTCTCTTCTTCTTTCTTCTTTGCGTGAAAAAAAAGATCTCTATATACAACAGTAAGAAAGAGACACACTTTTCTTTTGCCACATAATGAGAAGAGGGACATTGGAAAACATCGTGACACCTGAAAAGATCAGTGGGAAAAGGGGTAGAGACAGACCAAGAAAGACGATGCTCTTTACAGACCCGAACCAAACATGGAGGTCGAGAACACCACCACACATGGACAAAATAAAGATTTTCTGCTTCCAAAAACAAAGTTTTGGAAAAGAAAGCAGCCACATGTGGACACAAGTGAGATTACAGATCCAGTTACAAAAAGGCCACACTTTAAACCATAGAAGGCTGTTGTTGGATCTGGTTCTAAATCAGAAATCAGACGTATACTAGTTTCTTCACATCGGTATACACCCCTGCAGAAAGAGTGGCTGAAAATGTTCACAAAGCTTGTAGAAAATCGGAAGTTGAATGTCAGATTGGTTGCATAGAAGCGACAAGTAGAGATAAAGGCTGGTAAGGAAACACAGGAAATTGGTGCTTTGCAGAGAGCTGAAGATTTTGTCAAAGCCTTTATTCTAGGATTTGATGTTGAAGATGCTCTCGCCCTTCTACGTTTGGATCATCTATATCTGGAGAGTTTTGACGTCACAGATGTGAAACCGCTGAAGTGTGACCACTTGGCTAGAGCTGTTAGCAGGTTGGCTGGCAAGAACGGAAAGACAAAGTTCACAATAGAAAATGTGACAACTACCAGGATCGTTCTTGCAGACAGTAAAATTCACATTTTGGGATCATATCAAAACATTCAGATAGCAAGGAAAGCCATTTGTAACCTTATTCTGGGAAGTGCTCCAAGCAAAGTTAATGGACAGATGAGGACAGTCGCACAACGAGCTGCCAGTAGATTTTGACAGTTGTAAATCATTTATGTAGGAAAGTAAATAAACAAACAACTGATGTAAATAGAAAAAAAAAGAAAGACGATGCTGGATGGGCTGAAATGATGACATGGAGGGATATCATCAAGACTGCTGTTCCAGGCGACCAGGGATCGTGATCTGTGGATTCGCATGAGCGCCTACGCTAGTTGGCAGGGCACACTATTATGATGATCTCAAGGGCTCGGAACGCCAAAAAGTAGAAGAAAGAAAAAACGATCGCTACAACAATGCAACATCTACAAAAGAGACAACCGCGACTCACTAAAACGCAGCTCCATATACATCAGCTTCCTTACAACTCAACTTCTTTACAGTTCAAACTCTTCACAACTCAATCAATATACAACCTCAGCTGCCCATAACTTAATCCTCCCTACAACTCAGCCTCCTTACAACTCAACTTTCCTACAAATCAACCTCCCTAGAACTCCACCTCCCTACAACTCCACCTCCCTAAACTAAACCTCTCTACAACTGAGCCTCCCTACAGTTCAACCAATCTAAAACTCAACCTCCATACAACTAAACCTCCCTACAATTCAGCCTATCTACATCTCAATCTATCTAAAACTCAGTCTATCTACAACTCAACCTCTCTGCAGCTTAACCTTTCTATAACAGCCTCGCTACACTACAGCCTTCAAGCAACTAAACACACCTACCCCCACCCCGCCCCACTGACTTCACTCACCCTTCCTACAACACAATCTTCCTACAACACAATCTTTCTACAACACAATCTTCCTACAACACAATCTTCCTACAACACAATTTTCCTATAACACAATCTTCCTACAAAACATTCTTCCTACAACACAATCTTCCTACAACTCAATCGTGCTTCAACACAATCTTCCTATAACACAATCTTCCTACAACACAATCTTTCTATAACACAATCTTCCTATAACACAATCTTCTTACAACACAATCTTCCTACAACACAATCTTCCTACAATACATTCTTCCTACAACACAATCTTCCTACAACACAATCTTCCTACAACACAATCTTCCTATGACACAATCTTCCTACAACACAATCTTCCTATAACACAATCTTCCTACAACTTAACCCCCATCCACGGCCAGCGCCAGCAGTTAATTAAAATGTAATTTAATTCGTATAGAAATCTACTCGATAACATTCGAAAATCGCACTTAACCTCCCTCACCTGGATCTACACACCTGGTCATGCGGGTGTAAAAGGGAAATGAGCAAGCCGACAAACTAGCAATCATCGCACTAAGGCATGTGGAAAGAAGCATGGACAGAGCAGATATCGTCAACGTTGTACGGACTGGGCTAGTGGATAATGAGGAATTCCTGACACGTACATAATTGCGTGACATGGGAGGAAGCTTGGTGAAGCACGTCTATGCCGTCTTCGGGGCCTAGATAGGAGACAATATAACCAGCTTCTTATGGGAACAATTAATAGAAGTACTTTGAAGTGGCTGCTGCATCGGAGGACTGAGCACGCATGGGAATGCGCAATGTGCAGAGACGTCGATTGTGATAACATAACATAACTCGATAACAATGGTGAGCACAAGCCGGCTGTGGACCGGCCTAACAAAACGGGAATTTCCATAGACCTGTTTATCCTTATTGCTGAAACTGGCCGTGCCCCACCCAAATGCTTCAACATCCTCCCTACAATTCAGCCTCCATACAGCTTCACCTGCATTCAACTCAATCTCCCCATGAAGATATCCTTGGCACTTCTCTTCCCTCAGTTACTGAACAGGGCAACAACAAAAAAACATTTCCTATATCAAAAGTGAATAAACATTTTACGAGTTTCCATTTGGCTAAACGCTGAGGTACATTTTTTCCACAGATATTTGCTGTCCTCATGTGGAAGGGAGGACAGATTCAAATCCAGACATTTCTTTAATATGTCGTTAAACTGTTATCATGTCTGATGTCTTTTCGGATTATAATATACGTTTTCAATTGTTATCATTTCTGATGAGTGTTCAAATATCTACTTGTCACACATACATCTATCACAAAAAGGTAAAGTCGTGAGATGTGAACCAGCGTCATTATAAACCATACGTGCTCTGTCACCAGTACGGACAGCTGATAAGAATTGTCCGTCTGTGTCGCCGTTCCCGCGTAACTCTGTAGCTACAGCGACGTTCCTCCATTTACACCAGAGTGTCAACACTGGTACCCATTTCATAGAGGCTGAGTTAACGCCGGGAACCACCCGGTTTCGAACACCGACCGTGGGCTGCAGCCAGTCGCAGCTGGATCTGAAAGCGAGCTTCTTATCGACTGCGCTAACGCGGCTCCCGACATCTATCAATATACATAGAACAACTGTCAGGTTTAACTTGATATTCAGCATCCATCACTACTGTTAATGGCGGCATGTGTATTTACCAATTTAAAAAAAAAAAGAAAGAAAGAAATGTGCGATAATTTAAATTAAGCTGAGACCAGTCAGCTGAGGGGGAAAAAACGTTTTGCCTAACACAACACTTAAAAGGCAAGTGAAAATAATTAGTGATAGTAATATCTACCCAAACGGTTATTTCCACTTTCATGCAATTACTCCCTATCCTGGAAATATTGTTTTATTATTACCTTCTTACGATTCCGAAATTTATCTAATTGGTGCCTATTGGCGCTGCAGTTTGCCACAAAATTCTTCGCTAAACGAAACAAAAATCAATTGTATTAACAGATTATGGTAGTAATAGTTTTTGATTGTTCAGTTTGTAGAAATGTTGAGCAACTCTCAATGTAAAATTAGGCAAGCGAAACTTACGCCCCAGGGAACTGAACAGTAAAATCTGTGATTGATCCAAGTTATTTTCAGGGTTCAATAATTTTATTTGCTCTGGTTAAAACAGACGGGGTAAAACAGGGTAACGTCTGTGGCAGTCTCTGTGCTTGCGGTATTGTTTACATAGGTTTGCATTCATTATCAGCTAGTAACTGGAGTAGATTACAAGACAGGTGGTTCACATAGAATCTTAGTGTTGGTACATATATTATGATCATGTGAAATCGATAAACACACACACAGACACACACACACATTAAGTGTGTGTGTGTGTGTAAATATATATATATAAATATATATATATATATATATATATCTATATATATATATATATATATATATATATGTGTGTGTGTGTGTGTGTGTCTTTTTCTTCTTCTTCTCCTTCTTCTTGGTCATCATCATCATTGTCTTCTTCTACTTTTTCTTCTTCTTCTTTTTCTTCTTCTTTCTATTATTATTATTATTGTTATTATTATTATTATTATTCGTCTTTATACTCATTATTAGTATTATTATTATAGTCTTTCTTCTTCTTCTTCTTCTTTATCTTCTTCTTCTTTTTCTTCTTCTTCTTCTTCTTCTTCTTCTTCTTCTTATTATTATTATTATTATTATTATTATTATTATTATTATTATTATTATTATTTTTCTTTATCTTCTTCTTGGTCATCATTATCTTCTTCTTTATCATCATTCTCTTCTTCTTCTTCTTCTTCTTCTTCTTCTTCTTCTTCTTCTACTACTTTTTCTTCTCCTCTTTCTCCCGCTCTCCCTCTACAGCTGCTACTGATGCTACTGTCCAGCACCATCTCCTCTTTCTCCCGCTCTCCCTCTACAGCTGCTACTGATGCTACTGTCCAGCACCATCTCCTCTTTCTCCCGCTCTCCCTCTACAGCTGCTACTGATGCTACTGTCCAGCACCATCTCCTCTTTCTCCCGCTCTCCCTCTACAGCTGCTACTGATGCTACTGTCCAGCACCATCTCCTCTTTCCCGCTCTCCCTCTACAGCTGCTACTGATGCTACTGTCCAGCACCATCTCCTCTTTCTCCCGCTCTCCCTCTACAGCTGCTACTGATGCTACTGTCCAGCACCATCTCCTCTTTCTCCCGCTCTCCATCTACAGCTGCTACTGATGCTACTGTCCAGCACCATCTCCTCTTTCTCCCGCTCTCCCTCTACAGCTGCTACTGATGCTACTGTCCAGCACCATCTCAGTGTCCAAAGTATTACGGGAAGTGAATTACCAATGAAACTACTAGTTCTTGTAAAAATATCCAAGTGAGGTTAGAACTCGGCAATTTGAGAAACCCCGAAGCACCCGTATCCCAACTGTCAACCAAGTTGATTATCAGTCGTCCCTCGTGGAATGCATTTTTTTTTTAGCCCCACCATGGCTTTTGCCGGGGGTCCTAAATATAGCTGGGCCATAAATATACCTTAGCCATAAATATAGCTGAAAGGGGTTTCTGACCTTTGATCTTGATCCGAAAGGTGGCTTCCTCTCAGGATGTGTCTAATGTAGCGCCATCGTCTCTGACTTATAACTGTTGATACTAGCGGTTGCCCAGACATTTCTCTTATTTCTGCATTCCTTTTGAATTCATCCAATTTTGTTTTCGTAATTGTCCTCAAACAAAATTATTTTTTCGAAATGTATCTTATCTTTCCATGTCTTTAGTGATTCTGCAATTCTCCCTTACATATGTGAAAATTGAAATTATATTAGAATGTACAATACGTCACTTAGTTTTAAACTCTACATTTTACAGTTCCATATTTTTTTTAAGCTAAAAAAGATATTTACTTGTAAATAAATCAGTGACATAATGCATATTCCAAGGATCTGGTATTTACGTACACTGGAGCCTAGCTACCAACCCAAACCGACACAATGGGACCATGTAATGACGGATGTAATCATTGTGAGGCTCCACCTAACAATTCACACACATCTCCATGACATGTTTAACCTGTTCTTATTGCAGAAAGACAACTATAAGACCACTAAGGTCACACGCGAAATATTTTCACATTTCGGGTCTATCCAAACCCAAAAACTGTTTTTTGGTACTTTTCAGCAAAGAAAAATACTTAAAACTTCAAAATCATAAATGATGGTGGTCTGACATGGGGGAAAGAAGCATTAAGTCTAGAGACGACGCAAATACCAGAACTTTACCCATGAAATTGGCAACAAGACCACGAATATATCCGGAGACTGTTGGCAGCTTCGTTTGGCTAGCAGCAGGTTGAACGTGGTTGAGTTTTTGATTTTTTTCTTAAAAGGAATTGGAACTGAAAATCAGTTGAATAGAATTGACCAAAGAAAGTTCTTTATTTTTTATTTTTATTTTTTAAGTTTAAAAAAAAAAAGAGACAGAGGGGCAACCGAAGGTGTTATGATTTTTTGTTGGGGGGGGGGGGGGGGGGCTGTGGTTTTGGGGGGGGGGGGGGTTACAGGGGGTTTACATCTTCTTGTAGAAATTGAAAGACTCAAGAAGACTATGGGTACTTTTTGACTAAATATACAATAAAAGACTAATCCTTCATGCAAGGTGCTTACTACCGTAAAGGGCAGGTAAGGACAGACTAAACAAGAATGTGCGTGCTTCTATCCAATAGGGAGAAAAGGGATAGACTAAACAAGACTTTAAGGTACTTGTGACCTATAAGGAGAAAAAGGACAGACTAAACAAGATTTTATGGTACTTCTGACCTATAAGGAGAAAAAGGACAGACTAAACAAGACTTTAAGGTACTTGTGACCTATAAGGAGAAAAGGGACAGACTAAACTAGACTTGTAGGTACTTCTGACCTATGAGGAGAAACGGGACAGACTAAACAACACTTTTGGGTACTTCTGAAATATTCTTCTTTTTCTTCTTCTGCCTTTCTATCCCCCAATGGAGCATAGGCCCTCAACCAACTCACGCCAAGTCGTTCTATCCTTCGCCATTGCATGGAGCTCTCCCCATGTCCTCCCAGTCTTTCTAACCTCGTTCTCCAGCTCTCTTCTCCATGTGTTTTTTGGCCTTCCTTTATTCCTATCTGAAATATAGGGAGGAATATGTCAGACAACTTAATATAAAGACTTGTACACAATAGGCTAGAAAATGATTAAGAAATGGAGACTGTGGTAAATTTACAATGTATGGTAGAAAATGATAGGACTACAGAACTACTTCATAAGGCAGAAGATGGCAGACGTAACAACAGATTTTCTTCCAGGTCACAGGCCACCAAACATAATGAGGGATAATTTTACCAGTTTGGTCCAGTTAGCCACCCAGTCTGTGAAGTCTCTGACCTCTGTGGCGGACACACCAACTCCTATGTCGACCATCCCTGGCAGAGCTATTCCGGATCTGACTTTACAAATGATGGAAGGATCCGCAGAAAGAGATATGCATATTGTGATAGACACTTCTGAAAAAACATTTGCCAACAACCTCCATTTTATTATGAGCGCAGTGATTGGCCCAGTTGTTTGCCTGTTGGGCATGGCTGGAAATATTCTATCCATAATCACGTGGCAACGACCTGGCATGGGCGGCTCTACCGGACGGTATCTGATAGGACAGGTGAGTCTTACAGGAAGGCTCTTGCCTTTGATATTTTTTTTTTGCTGGTATTCATTTCTTGCATTCACACATGTGTTAGAGCTTCAAACGGCCACGCATACATGTTAATTTGTTTTCTTGCAGAGACCTCAGATAAGTGATTTTTTGGATAGTTGTTTGTAATTGTAGCAATATTATAAGAAGACCTCCACAGGGGAGCATGCACAGCAGGAGTCCACCGTCATCTGTAGAAAGATCCTTCGTCGACGACTGTTTCAGCTTATTACTTCCTATATAATCTGGGAACGTGGGCCCGACCTGGTTCATGACTCCAGGCCTCGATCTTAACCTGCTGCACTTTATCGAACTCACGGACCGGTACAAGACGATAGGGTGACTTTGCAACAAGTGTTGTGAAATTGGTTTTATATTGTCGATGCGGTATCAACTTAGATCAGTCGACTAACTTAACGACCAGATTGACAAGTTAGTGGTTGGTTCATCGGACAGGTTTGAGACATTGGTATTTGACAGAGAGACACTGGCAGGCATTTATCGGACACCTTAGCTTTTCAAGGAATAAGAAGCTCCTTTCCACTAGGGACAGACCAGTCTACCGAGGCCCATCCCCCACGATGTTCCGTTGTGTCCAGAGCCAGCTCGAAACTCTTTCAGCAGCTTCGCCCAGTTGTTGTAGTGATCGTTTACGCTGGTTTCCTTTCAACCCAGCTGCTTTAGCACATTTTACGTGGAATTGGACATAGGACCTCTTGCGGCTGCCTCGACGGTGAAGATTTTAACTGTGTACTGTGTACGGCCACGAGATCACTGTACTTTTCGAGCTTGTAGAAGCGATTTTCTTCCATTATTAACATTATATATTAATTGCAAATGCTAATGAAAGTGAGTTATTCAAAGATGTGTGCGTAGTAGCAGTAGAAAAAGAAGAAGGAGAAGAAGATGATGAAGAAGAAGAAGAAGAAGAAGAAGAAGAAGAAGAAGAAGAAGAAGAAGAAGAAGAAGAAGAAGAAGAAGAAGAAGAAGAAGAAGAAGAAGAAGAAGAAGAAGAAGAAGAAGAAGAAGAAGAAGAAGAAGAAGAAGAAGAAGAAGAAGAAGAAGAAGAAGAAGAAGAAGAAGAAGAAGAAGAAGAAGAAGAAGAAGAAAAAGGAGAAGAAGAAGAAGAAGCGTCAGCAGCAGTAGTGGTAGCCGCAGTAGTAGTAATACCAGCAGCAGCAGCAACAGCATCACTAGTAGTAGCGGTAGTAGTAGTTTTAGTAGTAGTAGTGATAGTAGCAGCAGCAGCAGTAGTAGTAGTAGTAGTAGTAGTAGTAGTAGTAGTAGTAGTAGTAGTAGTAGTAGTAGTAGTAGTAGTAGTAGTAGTAGTAGTAGTATTAGTAGTAGTAGTAGTAGTTATTGTTGTTGTTGTTGCTCCTGATGCTCTTGTTCTTGTTCTTGTAGATCAAAAGTAGCCATAAACAAAGATGGCGCAACTATTACTGTTCTTTTTACATATTCTTTTGGATTTATCGTCCGACGCATAACCCACCAGGGTGTGGCAAATCTGTGCCTTCTCCTCATGTTTCTACTGTGTGACTCGCTGCAGTACTGGTTGCCGGCCGTCAAGTATTCGGTCATCTACGGAGCTTTCTTCTCCTACTTCGGCTTCCCCGTGTTCTACTTGGCCATCACCTGCAGCATCTGGTACACGGTTGGGCTCACTGTGGATCGGTACATCATGGTGTGTTGGATCACCAAGGCCAAAGTGAGTTTCTCGTCGTTTCTACTGACTTTTGTGATTTACTTGTTGTTCCACTTGGTGTCTGCTGACCTTTCTGCGTTTCATGTCTTTCCATCTGGTGTCTGCTGACCTTTCTGCGTATCATGTCTTTCCACCTGGTGTCTGCTGATCTTTCTGTGTATCATGTCTTTCCACCTGGTGTCTGCTGACCTTTCTGCGTATCAAGTCTTTCCATCTGGTGTCTGCTGACCTTTCTGCGTATCATGTCTTTCCACCTGGTTTCTGCTGACCTTTCTGTGTATCATGTCTTTCCACCTGTTGCCTGCTGATCTTTCTGTGTATCATGTCATTCCACCTGGTGTCCGCTGACCTTTCTGCGTATCATGTCTTTCCACCTGGTGTCTGCTGAACTTTCTGCGTATCATGTCTTTCCACCTGGTGTCTGCTGAACTTTCTGCGTATCATGTCTTTCCACCTGATGTCTGCTGACCTTTCTGCGTATCATGTCTTTCCATCTGGTGTCTGCTGACCTTTCTGCGTATCATCTCTTTCCACCTGGTGTCTGTTGACCTTTCTGCGTATCATGTCTTTCCACCTGGTGTCTGCTGACCTTTCTGTGTATCTTGCATTCCGCCTGGTGTCTGCTGACCTTTCTGTGTATTTTGCATTCCACCTGGTGTCTGCTGATCTTTTTGTCTATCTTGTCGTTTCACGTAAGACATCATCATCATCGTGTGACCTGCTATTAAGCGTATGCAGTCATGTTTCGCTATCTCACATGATCGCTGATCTGGTCAGTATTCTTGTCTGGTCGCGATTGTATATCTACGCCTTAAGTTATTTATCTCTTTGCCTTCCCCCTGCTCTTGTTTCATTATTTTTGCAAGCTGTAACCAGTCCCAATAGTATTAGGGCCAGATATCTTCCGATTCATCACCATCATTGGTGCCTTGTCTACTGGTGAGGGCGATCACGCCTCACTACATCTTGCAATCTACAACGGTATATAGTGGTTAATGTGCTGACACTCCATGCCATGACAAAAGGCTGTTAAGAATATTCTTACGCGCCTCCACCCCTTTCCTCCCCCCTCCCCATCGCCCGACAAATCTTTCCATTTGTCACAAGACAGTCCAGTTTGCATCTTCTCGTTGACTTGACTTGCTTTGCGAAAAAATAAATCGTTACTTTTAACCTGCATCCACTCCCCCCCCTCCCCCCAAATGGGGGTAGCTTTTGGTTATAATTGTGACTAGGCTTATGATCGCATATAAAATGGCTAAGTATTGCTCGCCACCAAGTAGCCCTAAAAACGACTCTTGCAGTGTTCATACTTTGAAAACAAACAGACCCAAACACTGTCCCGACCGACGACGAAGTCGTCTACCGGCCATCCATTGGGCTACTAGGTCACCCATGATAATCTTCTCATAACATGGCCAAAAGATTAGGAAATTCTTTTTTTTTTTTTATATTCGAGATAAGTTGTTCTCGGGCCGTCTCCTCTCTTCTGACATCCGGGCTTTTCATTTAGAATGCCAGGCAATGTTAAGCAATCTTCTGTTAAAAACCACATTCCTGAGGCCTCAAGAAATTGTTCGACTTCTTCAATAATTGTCCAGGACTTACAGCCATATGTTAAAATTGCTTTATACAGCGTCAACGAGAATTATTGTCAAAATTTGAAACTGTGATTGCAAAAGAATTATTTAATGGATATATGCGTGTTAAGACAACTAATCACAGACATCAGAAGGAGACAATCTTAATTTTTTTTTTGGCCATGTTATAAGAAGAGGAAAAATAGAACATGTTGTGACCACTGGAAAGATCTGTGATAGGAGGGACAGACTAAGACAGCGAAAAAAGATTTGTGACAGTTTTGGTGCATGGCATGAAAGTGTGTCAGCACACGAACTAATACATGCTCTAGGAGATCGCAGATTGTGGAGAGGCATGATCGCCCACGCCAGCAGGCAATGCACCTGATGATGATGATGACGATGATGCGTGTTACGTCTTACCATGTTCAGAAGAGATGATATTTTTGTGTGACCGTGTATGACCGAGTGGCTGGAAATGGCCTGTAGAAGATGAGGGAGACTGAGTACCACAGAGAGAGGGTCGCTACATAAATTGCCACTCAAGACACAGTTCAAATACAGTTCAGAAAAGTAAAGTCGCGAGATATAAACCAGCGTCACTGCACACAGTTATAAACCATAAGTTCTCTGCCACCAGTACGGACAGCTGATAAGAATTGTCCGCCTGTGTTGCCGTTCGCGCTTAACTCTGTAGCTACAGCGACGTTCCTCCATTTACCCCAGAGTATCTATCACTCTGGTACCCATTTCCTAGAGGCTGGGTGAACCCCAGGAGCCGCGCGGTTTCGAACACCGACCGTGGCTGCAGCGAGTCGCAGCTGGATTTGAAAGCGAGCTTCTTATCGACTGCGCTAACGCGGCTCCCCCTTTACCTTTACCTTTAGTTCAGAAGACAGGAGATTGAATATCGCCATCACATAACCAGAGCTAGACATGTCTAAAACGTTAAACATTTCTGAACCTTGTCAGGTGTCATAGGTATATACCCATTAAATATTTCTTCAGGGGGCTGCGTGATCTCGAGGTATAATATCCGTCTCGAGTGCTAGAGGTTCCGGGTTCAATCCCCTGGTGAGGGCTGGGATTTTTTCACATGGACTAGTAATTCCCCCAGTCTCTGGGTAGTGAGATCAAAAGCCCGTGTGTATTAAGGCGCACGTAAAAAATCCTTGGCAGTTGGAAATCGAAAACAGTAACCTAACGGCGCTGCCCGGGCAAAAATTTGGAGTTAAAATCAACCCAAAGTATTTAAGGATCTTCGCCGGTGCTACAGGACCTGTCCATGGTGCTTAGCTTCTTCGGACTCCGACTTGAGTTAGAAAAAGAACGGAGCACTTATGGGTTACTACCCGTGTGCTATGATGTTGATCTGTTGTTCACTTCAAACTTTAAACCTAAATACTTCTTCAATAATAAAAGTTTGAAATCTCCGCAATCATTCTCAATGGCTCAGTGTATCACGGGAGAATTGTGGTGTTAACCTCCCATGTTAGGGATTAACATCACATAATGCTCGTCATTGGATCAAATGCAGTTTCTGCATACCATATTCTATAGTTAACCTTCGGGGTATTCCCGGTAAAGCAGTTAGTTAGTTAGTTAGTTAGTTAGTTAGTTAGTTAGTTAGTTAGTTAGTTAGTTAGTTAGTTAGTTAGTTAGTTAGTTAGTTAGTTAGTTAGTTAGTTAGTTAGTTAGTTAGTTAGTTAGTTAGTTAGTTAGTTAGTTGGGTTATCATCTTTGCACTCCGGACATGGCCATAGTTGCTCAGATCCTCCCCTCAGTATGAACCACAACGTCCGATGGCTAATAGTACCAGTTCTATGTTGAAAAACAAGTCTTTTGGTGTGTCTGTTGTGCGTCTCGTTTTTTTGCTATGCCGATCTTAATTCCTAAGTCTGCCATTCTGGCGAGTGATGTAGATTCACTGCCCCCAAAGTCCTCTGTCCTTCCCATTGCTCTGAGCATTAAAAATATCAGCATGATCCATAGGCTGACCGTCGGTAGTGATATCGGATCCAGCCAATCTATCAGCTCTTTCATTTCCATCGACCCCCGGAACAAAAAATAAAGGTGACTCCACGCACAGTGGACTTCTGTAATGATTCAAGCCATTGTCTTCGCACCGAACCTGCCTGAACACCTCCAGATCATACTCATAGAATCACTGAATATAGATAAGCGGGTGTAGTTTTGTGTTTCGAGCCAGGCGAATACTTGCGTTAATGTCATCACCTCCATGGTCATGCTGCTGGTTGTCATGGGAAAGCGCATGGGCATTCACAGCACGCTCAGCAGGCAGAACAGTAAAGAAGCCAACGGCGCTTTCTCCCGGTGAAGCAATAGGAGAGAAGCAACTGAGGTGAAATCTGACGTAGCAGCAAGTCTTTATTGCTCCTGCATCGGAGGACAGAGCTCGACTGGATTTGACCTATGTGCTAGGATTTCGATACTGATAACAAGTAACAAGTAACCTAACCTCTGTGATAGTCTGAGTATATGTCCATCTTATCTTCCTTTCCTCTGAGAGTTAAGCATTATCCCTTTTGGCATTTTTATTCCAACCAGAGACTCTGCAATGAAGCTCGGGCAAACGTGGGCCTCGTCCTCATCACACTCAACAGCTTCATGATCAACGTCCCTCACTTCGCCTCCTTCACTCCGGTTTTCTTGAAGCACAGCGGCGAAGTTAACAACAGCAACATCGAGAAGCCCAAAGTGGCTTTCACTCAGACGAATTTTGGAGCTGGAGAGGGCGGGAAGTTTTACGAGTTCTGGATTCATTGCATTGTTCTGATCCTGGTCCCCTGGGTTTCCGTCTTGTACATGAATATTATGATTATCCTCAAGGTAAGTTGAACAGAAGTCAGCACCATCTCTCTCACAATCATTGGCAACAATCTATCTACCAAAATATCATCAGAAGTATGGACACTTACACGCACATTCACACACACACACACACACCCATTAGGGAGCTATAAAATCACGAAATCAGACGAATGCTTGGAATAAAGCCAGTCTTACAGGTCATCAAAGAACAACAAATAAATTGGTTTGGACACCTAACAAGAATGCCCTGGTACTATCTGCCACAGCGAGCCACACTAAAACGTTACACCGGGTATAGATCGAGTGGAAGACCTCGGAAAATATGGAGTGATGGCATTAAGAACAGCATTACAGAAATGAACACGTCTTAATAGTGCTCTTGACAGAGCTCATCAACGAACATTACATCTCAACCCGACACTTCGATGAGGTACAAGGTGAAAGAGAAGAAGAAGGGAGCTATGAAGGAGCTGGAGGCCTAGTGCTCTTTCTAAAAATGTGTATGTGGCAGAACTAAAAAGCCTTAATCATTTTTTTTTTCAATAGGAAACAAATAATATTGGGTGTCTGAGTCTTAGGCATTAAGAACGGTCTTGAACTGTCTTCGTAATTCGGCAATATTTTGTTCTATTCATGCTGAAGGCGATTTGACAACAGATCCCACTTTGTTGATTTTGACAATGTTATGAAGCGCTGACAGTTTAGTCGTTAGAGTGTTGCCTTCCTAAGCAGAAGACAGGTTTCGATCGTTTATAAGGGGTGGAGATGGTTTCAGTTGGGAGGCAAAAATTTAGAATCCTAACCTGCTCAGTATGTGGCGACTGCACTAACCACGAGCCTTAAACCACCAGTCCCACGATGGCCTTTGCCCTGCACTGCCACAAGTGGTAAACACATGCAGCAGATGCACATGAATAGATAAGCGATGCATTTAACAAGTAAAGGACCATTTTTCACGCCTTTACACGTATTTAGCATATGCTGCAAGACCTAAATGTTACAGGTCCAACTAGGCACTGGGTAGGCGATATGGTCAACATAACGCCGGTCGACTTTACTTCCCACGGCCTTACCTGGTACTCATTTAAGGCTGGGTCGACCTGGGTGTGAAGGCCAATTCTTAAAATGTCCAGGCTAGTGTCTTTCAGCTACACTACGGCGGCTTCCAGACAGATACACATAGAGATGGACAAATGAGTGGACTGTATTTTCAAAGGGTTAGAAATCTGGCACACAAGCCTGTCTTAGATTCTGCCCCGTCTGACCTTACTCCGTGCATACATCATTTCATTCTTTCATTATCTTGTTCTACTCTGAAACTTGAAGCACAACTAAAAGAATTAAAGCGTTATTACAGATTTTCAAACACAGAGTCTTACAACGAATCTTTCTACTCATCAAAGATACAAACAGCGGGAAATGGAGTGAGAGGCAACGAAATTCACAATCTGTTTAAATTCCCACTGATCACTTCCGTCCTGAGAGCTTACAGACTGAAATGGTTAGGGCATATTGAAAGAATGTCAGATGACAGAGAAGTGAATACTGTATACACCAGGAAGATGAATAGTCAAAGACCACGAGGCAGACCAAGAAGATCATAGAGAGATAATATCCGTACAGACCTGCAAACTCTTGGTGTCACCAACTGGAAAGTGAAAGCCAACCAGAGAGATGAATGGAGGCGGGTGATATCTGCAGTATTGAACCTCAAGGGCTCGGAATGCTGAAGAAGGCCAACCAGAGAGATGAATGGAGGCGGGTGATATCTGCAGCAATAACCTCAAGGGCTCGGAATGCCGAAGAAGGCCAACCAGAGAGATGAATGGAGGCAGGTGATATCTGCAGCAATAACCTCAAGGGCTCGGAATGCTGAAGAAGGCCAACCAGAGAGATGAATGGAGGCAGGTGATATCTGCAGCAATAACCTCAACGGCTCGGAATGCTGAAGAAGGCCAACCAGAGAGATGAATGGAGGCGGGTGATATCTGCAGCAATAACCTCAAGGGCTCGGAATGCTGAAGAAGGCCAACCAGAGAGATGAATGGAGGCAGGGATATCTGCAGCAATAACCTCAATGGCTCGGAATGCTGAAGAAGGCCAACCAGAGAGATGAATGGAGGCAGGTGATATCTGCAGCAATAACCTCAAGGGCTCGGAATGCTGAAGAAGGCCAACCAGAGAGATGAATGGAGGCGGGTGATATCTGCAGCAATAACCTCAATGGCTCGGAATGCTGAAGAAGGCCAACAAGAGAGATGAATGGAGGCAGGTGATATCTGCAGCAATAACCTCAAGGGCTCGGAATGCTGAAGAAGGCCAACAAGAGAGATGAATGGAGGCGGGTGATATCTGCAGCAATAACCTTAATGGCTCGGAATGCTGAAGAAGGCCAACCAGAGAGATGAATGGAGGCAGGTGATATCTGCAGCAATAACCTCAAGGGCTCGGAATGCTGAAGAAGGCCAACAAGAGAGATGAATGGAGGCGGGTGATATCTGCAGCAATAACCTCAATGGCTCGGAATGCTGAAGAAGGCCAACAAGAGAGATGAATGGAGGCGGGTGATATCTGCAGCAATAACCTCAAGGGCTCGGAATGCTGAAGAAGAAGAATTATCCTGTTGTTGTGCCATTATGTGTCACACTGGGCTCGTCGTCTATTCCTCCCTTTCGTTTTATCCTGTGTAATCAGTTCAATATCATGGATGGAATCATTATTATGCTTAAAATATGATTATCTTTCACGGGTACATACTGAGAGAATGTCAGATGACAGAGAGGTAAATTCAAGGAAGATGAATGGTCGTAGACCACGAGGCTGACAAGAGGACGATGGATAGATAATGTCCAGACAAACTTACAAACACCTGATGTCACCAACTGGATGAAGAAGATCGACTAGAGAGATTCGTGGAGGCGGATTATATCTGTAGCAGTGAACCTCAAAGGCTCGGAATGCTGAAGAAGAAGGGGGCATATAAACAGGCAATCAGATAAATATGTGGGTAGGTTTTTAGGTTGACACTGACTGGCTGGTTAATTAGCTGACTGACTGATTCAGTCATTAATAGACTGGTGGTTGACTATTTGATTGGTTAGTGAACTGATTAATTACTCTCGGCAGATAAGCGAAGCCAACAACAGAATGGCGGACAAGAAGACTAGCCAATCACTGAAGAAATCAAAGGAGTCTGAGAATCAGATCACCCGTCTGCTCCTGTGTGTGACCTTTACCTTCCTCTTCTGTATCGGCCTTCAGTGTATTGCCCAGTGTCTATGGATGAAGAAGCCACCCGGGGTCAGTATGACGGCCTGTCTGTGTCATTATTTTTACACCATCTAATCTGCCATGTGTTGATGGTTTAGTGGTTGTGAACACGCTTCGTAATTCCGAGGTGCCTGGTCCAATTCCATTCTTGGAAGATTTGGCAGCAGACTGCCTTGCATTAAATATGACAGCGTATAGAGAGCCGACTGTGCAGGGGCAATGGCAAACTACTGAACGTAAATTTCTTAGTCTTTTCTTCTTCTTCTTCATAATTCCAAGCCCATAGGGTTCATTGCTGCAGATATCACCTTCCTCCACTCATCTCTCTTGTTGGCCTTCTCCCTCCAATTGGTGACATCAAGTGTTTGCAGGTCTGTTTGGATGTTATATCTCCAACGTTTATCTGGTCAGCTCCCTTGTGTATACAATTTTTTACTTCTCTGTCTTCTGACATTCTCTCAATATGCCCCAACCATGTCAATTATCTCTCATGATTCAAGTGATCAATAGGGATTTAAACAGACCATGAATTTCGTTGTTGCTTCTCACTCTCCTGTCGGCGTCTGTGGCTTAGGCTTTACGAACGTGCTTCGTAATGCCGGGGTACCGGGTTCGATCCCAGCTGGTATCGAGAAGCCGACTGTCCAGAAAGCAATGGCCAACTACTGGACGTAAACTTGCCTAGGAAAACCACAACAGCCCAAAAATGCTGTGGTTGGTTCTGCAACGTCCTGTAAAGGATACGCAACTAACTTTTTCTATCTCTTCATTCCCCTCTCTCTGCATCTTTGAGGTGCGTTCAAAGATTCATCGCAACACTCTGTTTTCGAAAATATGTTATAAGTCTTCATCTCTTTTAGTTGTGCTCCAAGTTTCAGAGCTATATAAAGCGACTGGTCTTAGTTAGTTAGTTAGCTAGTTAGTTGGGTTATCATCATTGCACTCCGGACATGTCCATAGGTGCTCAGATCCTCCCCTCAGTATGTACCCCAAAGTCCGATGGCTAATAGTACCAGTTATATGCTGATTAACAAGTCTTCTGGCGTGTCTGGTGTGAGTTTCGTTCTTTGGTTTGCCAATCTTAATTCACAAGTCTGCCATTCTAGCGAGTGATGTTGATTCACTGCCACCAAAGTCCTCTATTCTTCCCATTTCTCTGAGGGCATTAATAATATCAGCATGATCCATAGGCTGACCGTCGGTAGTACGACTGGTCTTATCAACGTTTAATATATTTTGATCTTGATGTTGCGAGACAAACACTTTGACTTTAGCAGATGTTGAAAGGCAAAGTATACTTTATTTCCAGAGTGTATTCTAGATTGTATTTCTGGTAAATTTCTTAGTGAAACCACTAAATGTTGGGGGTAGGTTCGGTAAGGTCCTGTGAAGGATGTGAAGCTAACTTAACCTGCCACTATCATATGCACACAGGCGTCTTTGACTTAGGCGTTGCGAACACGCTTCGTAATGCTGGGTGCTGGGTTCAATCCCAGCTGCAGTCGATTTGGCAGCAGCCCGTCTTGTGTTAATTTCGACAGTTGCATGGAGAGTCGATCTTTCAGGGAGCAGTAACAAACTACTGACATTAAATTTGACTGCAAAAACCACAACAGCCAAAAATGCTGGGATTGGCTCTGCAACGTCCAGTAAAGGATACGCATCTAACATATCATCATCATGTAGCAGGTCCTTTGCAAAACGTCGCTCTCATGACAGTCTGCCTGTAAGAAACTCGGTTAGTTCTCCCGCCTCATGAACTTTCACACTCAAGGAGTCACTTATATCCTGTGCCCATCTTCGTGTCGGTGGCCACTGCCCCTCCTTCCTGGTACCATGCCTTCTGCTATCATTTTTTTCCAATCCGCTGTGGCGCTTGATATGACCAAAATATTTATCTTTCGAGAAAGGATGCTGTTTATTAGCGAATCTTCCTTGATGTTCAGTTTGATGTTCAGATCTTTTAAGATGTCAATATTTCTCATCTTCTTTGTCCAAGATATTCTGAGAATCTTTCTATAGCATCTCAGCTCAAAAGCGGTTATGATGTGTACGAGGACAATGTCCATCTATACCTCGCCTCGGGAAGCAGGCCCTTTGCTGATTTAACTGATCCAAATGCAAGGCTCCTGCTACACGTTCCCGTCGTGCGCAACGGATAACGGCCGTGCTTCAGAGGTACGGCTAAAAGTCCAAACGGGCATTCCCGTTTTTATAAAGCTGGCGTGACTGGTCAGGGCTCACCATTGTTATCGAGTAGATTTATACACAAACTGAACTACAGTTTAATTAATTTGCAACATGTGTTTTTGAATGAATTATCATTTTGAAGAAAATTAAACGCGGCACTCATAGAAAGAAGTAGACAGATATAAAAATACACTAGACTACATAACAACCTAAAGCTATAGTTACCATGAAGGGAATCGAACCTGTCACCTCCAGATGGCATGTGCCCCTACTACTACACCCCTATGTGTATCTTTAAGAAGGTATTAACTGATCCAGAATTTCCACAGGCAAACCTGCTGATGGTGTCGGCCTCCTACTCTTTCGGCAAAACTGGAATCTTGTTCAATTCATCCTTGAACTTCGTACTCTATTGTCTGACAGGCAAGAGATTCCGAATTGAGCTTCTGAAAATGTTTGGCCTGATCAACAAGGACCTACTATTGTCCAGCAGCATGAACACATCGACCAGCAACATTTCCACAACCTCCTCGGGGACACCATCTTCCACTAGACCTGTGACCAAAAGCGCATAGAGCAACACTGATGCTCATCATTGCTTGTTTTTACAAGGCATCGTTTATACAACATGGGTTAGCTTAAGTTGGAGAACACATAAAAAAAATAAAAAACCCAGAACTAGCTGTAGAGGTACATTAGACATCTTTTCTTTCAGACGACATATTTGATTCGTTTGTAGAATCGAGTGGACTATGATGCACGGCCACAAATACAATTGTTTAAACATTGAGTCACGAGTCAAGTCTTCCACATACCCAACCGTTATTTAACTCCATAGAATGCTTGCTGGTCGACGTTCTGATAAAACTGTGCTTGGCGGTCTTTGTGGATTACTATGTGCTTGCAGGAGTATGTAGGAATACTGTGTATTTGCAGGGGTGTTTTGAAATTCTCTGAGCTTGCAGGAGTGGAACTTTGCAGGAGTGTGTTGGAACTTTACAGAAGTATGTTGGAACTTTGCAGGAGTGTGTTGGAACTTTGCAGGAATGGGGTGGAACTTTGCAGGAGTGTGGTGGAACTTTACAGAAGTATGTTGGAACTTTGCAAGAGTGTGTTGGAACTTTGCAGGAATGGGGTGGAACTTTGCAGGAGTGTGTTGAAACCTTCTGTGTTTGCATGAGTTTGATAAAACTCTCCGTGCTTACAGGAGTGTGTTGACATATTTAGTTTGCTTGGTTGGAACCCATGTTGGCTCAACTACCTTTTAGTCTTCTTCATAGTCTACTATGTCTTCTGATGTCGACTGTTTTCACGGTCCACGGAAAACTAGCAGTCTCCAGCTTACAAATAAAATACAATTACAATTGACAAAATGAACGTTGCAGCCTTAGAACCTTCATCAGTATACAACACACGGGACAATGATACGTTAAATAACCTAGTTGTCTATGGAAGCCAAACAAAACTCATTTGTTTTGTTTATCAATATTTATGTTAGAATGCATTGTGATCACTGGTTTCCTTGTAAACAAAAACAAAAAAATTATGTACTCAGTAATTGTGGTTTCTGGTTTACATTCTGTTTGTCTTTTTGTTGGCTGTTTAGTTGGCTCAATGAATGGTTGGTTGTTCTTCTTTTTTCTTCTTCTTTCTTTTTCTTCTCTTCTTCTTTTCTCCTTCCGCAGCCTCCTCCTCTGCATTCTTTACCAAATAGTCAGTCTTTTCCGGCTTATTGTTCTTCGTGGTGTTTTTTTTTTTTTTTATTCCTATTATTTATTCTAATTATTATTATTTTTTTTCCCCGTTCGGTTCTTTTCAATATCCTGTTAAGGTGTTAAGGATGGCTATTTAACGAGAACCTGTATGCCCCCCTCCCCTTCCCCACCATTTTTACACATTCACACACACACACACACACACCCACACACACGCACATCGACATTAACTTTGATACAAAATGAAAGTTATGTAAGCATTTGCAGATGAGTTTACCTATCTCTTTTGCGTAAGAGCTCACAAAGTGTAAAATTCGGTACTCAGCGATGATGACCTCACAGGCTGGTGTTTGTTCCCTTGGACTGGCCTTATAGCTGTGTGTTTACAGAGATTCCATTAGTGGAAAAGAAAAACACATAAAAACAGCAGACGGCAGCACACAGCTGATTAGATAACACACATAGTGACAAGATAACATCGTTTATTAACCTAATTCTCCGTGCCTAAGCAACAGCACAAGTTAGCACGTTGTTATCACCGATCAACCATCTGTGTTCATACATTCTTTCTTGTTTATTTAACATACTTTAATCAATATATGCTTAATGATCAGTCAATTGAAGATGGAGAGATAATGAATGTTACATTCAATTTCTCAATAGTGTGATGAAGTATACATACATACATACATACATACATACATACATACATACATACATACATACATACATACATACATACATACATACATACATACATACATACATACATACATACATACATACATACATACATACATACATACATACATACATACATACATACATACATACATACATACATACATACATACATACACACACACACACACACACACACACACACCTACCTACCTACCTACCTACCTACCTACCTACCTACCTACCTGCCTGCCTGCCTGCCTGCCTGCCTGCCTGCCTGCCTGCCTGCCTGCCTGCCTGCCTGCCTGCCTGCCTGCCTGCCTGCCTGCCTACCTACCTACCTACCTACCTACATACATACATACATACATACATACATACATACATACATACATACATGACATACATACATACATACATACATACATACATACATACATACATACATACACATACATACATACATACATACATACATACATACATACAATACATAACATACATACAGACATACATACACACATACATACACACATGACATACATACATACATACATACATACACACTCCAACATACATACATACGTACATACATACATACATACATACATACATACATACATACATACATACATACATACATTACACACACACATACATACATACATACATACATACATACATACATACATACATACATACATACATACATACATACATACATACATACATACATACATACATACATGCATGCATGCATGCATGCATGCATGCATGCATGCATGCATGCATGCATGCATGCATGCATGCATGCATGCATGCATGCATGCATGCATGCATGCATGCATGCATGCATACATACATACATACATACATACATACATACATACATACATACATACGTACATACATACATACATACATACATACATACATACATACATACATACATACATACATACATACATACATACATACATACATAAAACATACATACATACATACATACATACATACATACATACATACATACATACATACATACATACATACATACATACATACATACATACATACATACATACATAATACATTACATACATACATACATACATACATACATACATACATACATACATACATACATACATACATACACATACATACATACATACATACATACATACATACATACATACATACATACATACATACACTACATACATACATACATACATACAGACAGTTACATACATACATACATACATACATACATACATACATACATACATACATACATACATACATACATACATACATACATACATACATTACATACATACATACATACATACAGATACATACATACATACATACATACATACATACATACATACATACATACATACATACATACATACATACATACATACATACATACATACATACATACATACATACATACATACATACATACATACATACATACATACATACATACATACATACATACATACATACACATACATACATACATACATACATACATACATACATACATACATACATACATACATACATACATACATACATACAAAAGACAGTGAAGTATGTATGTATGTACGCATGCATGCGTCCGTATACCTGACAATTTTCCAGACTGGAGTTGTGATACCTTGGTCAGTCTACCATTTTCCTACGAAGCATCGAGTATCAAGCTGCACTTTACTTACATTGATCGTTGTCGGTGTTGGAACGAGCAGGTTTTCTCAATGTTCAGTCTTCGTGGATTGAGCTGTCTAGGACACACTCAGGGAATGGTAGAGTCCCTAAGGACACTCTCTATGGTGGATTACAGATGGACAACAGAGGCCGAGGTCGGCCTCTACTACTATATAAAGATTTGTACAAGCAGGACATGAATGATATATGTATTAGGGTGGATTCCTAGCCTCTCAGGCAGATGCACTCTGACCTCGAAGGAAGCTCCCCCAATTAGTCGACTCTTACGACCCGCTTTTGGGTAAGCAGTGGTTCTATTCTTGTTTTCCCTATAATAGGGCCCCGGAACCCACACAGGGGAAAGAGAATGCTTAAAAGCTACATAAATCGTATCTTTATAAATGGAAGTGAATCATAGACAGTTGGTATATTAGTGACAAAAAAAATTTTTGAAGTTGCGGTGATGTGGATTTATGGACGGATGATGAGAATACCCTGAGTAATGAGGATGTCTTGAAAGAAACAGACTTACGAAGAGAACTTACTGCCCACATCAGAAAGAGACAAGTCACCTTCTCTGATCATGTGATGAAAAGAAGAAAACTTGTGTACATGTAGACATTAGCAAAGTTGGAGGAAAGGAGAGGAGAGGCAGATGGAAACCGAAAGAACAGATGCTGGACAGTATGACATCATGGCATAGAGGATCATCTGTGTCAGAGTTGATTGAAAGTACACGAGACAGGAGGTTGTGGACAGACATGACTACCAATGACACATGGCAGGGACTTTAAGAAGACGACACAGGTGGCAGCAGTTCATACTTCATAGCAAACGGGTCACCCCCAAAGTTACTCTATTTCTGTGCGTACGAAAACCAAACAGAATGGCCATCATTGTCCCTTGTGATTAAAAACTGACTCAGGCTGCAGTTTTAGCAAATCCCATTGCTTTAAGGGCATAAGACAGCCGTCAGGAGTGCAAACACAAACAGTCTGACACTAAAAATGCAGTTCATCGTCTGCGGATACCTCAGTTACAACAGATCAGTAGTTGCACATGCGATTAATTGTCACATAATGCTCCCTCAATTATATGGTAACAGGCCTGTCGCCATTTTATGAATCTACAATTAACAACACAAACAACGCTAGACACAGACGAAAAGCATTTAAAATGCAATCCGCAGCTCACAGTGTCAATCCATGCAGTCATCTCAGTAGCTGGGCAACTAAACTATTTCACTTCAGTCTACAGGAGAATGCAATGGCCAACCATTGTCAGGTGCAAGAACTTGTGACGGGTTTGAAAAAAAAAACGCCTAACCGCCATATTGAAAGGAGGCCATAATAACATAACACGAGAAAGATGGAAATGTTGCAACAAACTGGATGCTTTTCTAGTCGAGACTATGTGTAACAGAAGTATGTATTGTGGAGCATCTCGCGGAGACTGTG